TTGAATCATAAGTGCTTTAAGAATAGAAATTCACAAGTTTTAATATACAGGTAGTCGTCAACTTACAGCAGTTCATTTAATGATTGTTCAACGTTACAACAACACTGAAAACAATGACCTATTACCGATTTTCACACATATGACCATTTGCATTATTCTCATGGTCACATGATTAAAATTCAAGCACTTGGCAACTGGCTCATATTTATGAGTCGCAGTGCCCTGGGATCATTTGATCACCATTTGTGACCTTTTGAGAACCAAAGCCAATGGGGAAGCCAGATTCACTTAACAACCATGTTACAAAAGTAAGAACTGCAGATTCACTTAACAACTGTGGCAAGAAAGGTCAAAAAATGGGCAAAATTCACTGAACAGAAGTTTGCTTAGCAATAAAAATCTTGGCCTCAATTGTAGTCATAAGCTGAGGACTACCTATACTGACTTCCAAATATTTTCAGTTTAACCTAATTTACACTGCAGGATGCTAGTTGTTTAGCCAATCAAGATTAAATTTATTTTTTAAATTCAATGTAAATTAATATAGTTTAAAATTACATCACTACTCCACTAATTACTGTATGTTTTGTAATATTTGCTTAGTATCATACTTCAGTCTGAAGTAACCAGATTGTCTAGAGTATTTAAGCAGAATGCTCTCACAACATAAGCTAATACATCTTATTGCACTAAAAAATTATGTGGCTAGCTGTTAGATCTGTGTTATATGTGAATCACATTACTATAAATGTGTAAACTATGGATTAATGCAACATATGACTCACTCTCCTGGCTGCAATAAATGTTTCATCTAGGTGAGTGAGATTACTAAAGGAGGGCTGGAATGCTTTGCCCCTGACGGTTCATTCAGTTTCTATTTGAAGACAGAAATCTCATTCATCACAGAAAATAGAAGAGTTCAGGCAATAGTATGAAGGATTTCATCCATCCTCATCTACACATCTGCTATGTTTCCATTTTGGGCATAGATGATGCAAAAGTCCTTTTTATTTGTCTAATGTAAGACCCAAGGAGTTGGTAGCAAAGCTTACTGTATAAAGGATTAAGCCTTTCCTCTGCTACCAGCATGAGGTATTGCTACATTAAACATACAGATAGTGAATTTTTGGACATATTATAAATACAGTAATTGCTGTCTTGCATGAACAAACTTCACTTTTTAAATCAGTCTGTGATAAAGGGAAGGTGCGCCCTTCCTTCCATCTTGCTTTGCAATTTATGATGCATGACTAAGATAGTACTTAAAACCATAGGCTAAGGAAGGAACAAAATTGTCCACAATGGCGGACAGATTAAAGGAAGGAGGCCTAGTTTCTATTTTCCATGAAGAAAAACGGCTCTTTCAGTAAATATGTTGTAAATAGCAAGAAAGACCTGCAAAAGAAGTGTGTGTGATCACTTCAACTCATCACCATCAGTGAAAGCCTCTTCTAGAATACAAGTGTAAATCACAAGACATTGTTCCTTCCTATTCTGTGGGATTATTCACTATACTAATTTTTATTGATAAATGTTGATAAAGACCAAAAGTTCCATATATCTATTATTACCATAAAAAATAAGAGTCTTATAGTTTGAAGGCCAGTTACTTTATAAAATTGAACTTCAAATCATCCTATTGTTCTGCCATTTAGTTTAAGTATTATAACTGGAGTTCATAACATCATGGCTCAAACTCATCTCAGCTAAAATAGTATTTTTCATATAAGCTTATAGATTTCATGAACAAATGTCCACTCCATCAGTGCAGCACCTATAAAACAAAAATTAAAATGTACAAAATCACATAACTTGTATTGGACACATTGTAACTAGAGTATGATCCCCCAAATCAGCACAGAGGATCCTGCATTCGGAAACTAAATCTCAACATATGGCTACACATTTAAATTATATTTCACAGTCAGTGAACACAATTTAATATATACAAATTCATTTTATTTAGAAACATTCTCTACAGCCCTGATTTAACTTTTCCACCAAAGAAAAATTATCATACAATAGTGTCAACTGAGTTTAGTTTTTCTTTTACAATAAGAACTGTAAAAGTTTCTCATTATGTAAAGGAATCAAGAAAAAAATGAAGACATAAAATCCTAAAAAAGATTATCTGTCCATATATTTATTTTAATCTGTCCTTCTTTCTCAATAATTCAGATACATTTAACAGATTGAACATAAGGGTGTTCAAAAGTTCAAGAACGAGATACATATCAGTCACCTTTATGAACTGATCCAAGAGATTCAGATGAAAAAGGAATAAAGCTTTAATCCACATGTGAATGATTTCAAGAATAATATGAATAAATCTCCAGAGCAGGCTTCAATCCTAGCACACTCCAGAGTCCACTCAAATCAGTAGGGAGAACACAAGGTGGATAGGTAATTCTGTAAAATTACCGTTGTGAAAATGTTGATAAATCCCCAATTATGACACCTACTCTAGGATAAAAACAAATGCAAAATACAATACAATCACCAGTCAATATTTGCAAACCTTTCACATGAAACATTAATCCTCTTCAATTTTAAGTCTGTTATCAACCTGATAACATAATTTACTGTCAAAATTTATAACTATTTAGAACACAGTTCACATCTTCATTTGAATGTTTAGCATAATCACATGAACACAAAGGGTTAACAGTATATACATACAAATACCCGCGAGAACCTCAGAAAACATTATATATATATATATATAAAATCATTATCTAGTTTATTAAGTTAATATTGAAAAATCCTGAAAATCTGAAATGATCCAGATATTAACATTTATAATATTTTGGAAAATGTTATCAACTCTCTTGCCACATACCATGTAAGATTAATAATTACACTGTTGCAACAGACAACAGGTAAGTTACTGATAAGTTAACACAAAAGTTTATTAGCATTTACAGGTTAAATGCTTACATATTCAAAATGGCCAATATGGAAATAACACCACATATGGAAATATCACATAAAACATGGCTTCCAAAGTGCAATTTACCATTTTTGTTGCCCAAATAGGCTTTTCCTTTATTCCCAACCATAAGAAAGTTCAGGTTTCTCACAACATATTAGCCTTTAACTGAATAATTCTCTCTACTCAAAGAACAGGAAACAGTCTTATTTTTATATCCTAGCCGAGCCTCAAACATTTGCATTTCAATTCTCCAGCTTACACTTATATGTGAGGTTTGCTGTCTCTGTCAGCCAGCTGTCTTTCTACACATACTCAACTCCTGCCCTTATTTTACTACATTGGCTAGCACAGCTGCCTATCATTTCAGCTAATGCTCTTTCCTTTCTATTTCAGACACAGACTGTCTATTGTCCCATCCGTATTACCAACTAAGTCTTTCAGCACCATATAGTGCAAGCAAGTCTTCAATTTATCACCAACTATAGATCCTGTTCCCAGCAATCAGGCTTATTCTAGAAGTCCTAATCTATTTTTTCCTTCAGATGGCAGAGAGACACTGCTTTAGTGGTAGAGTTCCCCCTTTCCCTTCACTTCTTTCTAAATAGACCTAAAGAATTGCAGCAGCCTTCTGTTTGGTTAAACCAGTTTCATCTCATGTCATTATTTCCTCAATTGCTTTTTATATATATACTATAAACTGATACTAAAAGGGTATCAGAATGAGTAGAATTTTGACTGTTTCCTAGTATGATTTGATTGCTTATTGAACCATATGACTACCATTAAGTGTTGTACCTTATGATTCTTGACGAATGTCTTTTCTTTTATGTATACTGAGTGTATTTGCACCAAGACAAATTCCTTTTGTGTCCAATCACACTTGGCCAATAATAAAGAATTCGAATTCTAAAAGGATATCGTGCATCCTACTGTTTTTTGTTTGTTTGTTTGTTTTTGTTTTGGCAGACCAAGTTACTTAATGAGCTTCCAAAACCTAACCGAACGTCAAGGAAAAGCTTCTCCCTCGCGCACCCACCCACCCCTTCCTCCCTTCTACCACCCCAGCTCTTGTCAACAAGGACTGAACACACGTCACTTCCTCCAGAACCTTCCCATAGCTTCCAGGAAGGCTCACCCGCCCCTTTTAGTGCAAAACATCCATCCTCTTTCGCGGACTCAAAAACTTTTTCTTCTTAGGGAGTCGGCTGATTCTTGCCACCCCTCAAGAAGGCTCCTGGCCTCCCCTAAAAAAAAAAAAGGCCCGCTTTCTGGATCCATTCCGTCAGCTCTAAAGCTCCCCAGATCGTCATCCCCACCACCATATTTCTCTCTCTCTCTTTCTCACTCACACACACACACACACGCCCCCCGTAAAGATTTAAGAGACCCACCCCGGACGGCAATAGATGCCTTTCGAGCGAAATGCTTCGCAGACCCCCGTTTCCTTCCGCTCTTCTCTCCCCCCCCCCCCCCCCCGCATCCCCTTCAGAATTCCTCACCAACCGCTCCACCCAATTCATGCCTCCCACTCTCTCCCGGCTGGCTGGGTCCCGCGTTCGTCCCCACTCCCATCCCTCCCTCCCCTTGAGAACAACACCTCCCTTACTCTCCAGAGTAGTAATTCTCGCTTCCTCCTCTTCGCCAACCCGCACTGACTACTACGCTGGCTCTCTCGGCCCTCGAATACAGCCCCCAACCTTCGCTCACCATCTGCTGACCTGACCTCCACAGCACCCATCATCCCCATCCCCGACGTCCCGACCCAACGGTCGGGTTCCCTCGCTTTCCCCGCCCCCCTCCCCCAGCTCCGGGATATTAGCGCCCGCTTCTCTCCACACACACCCCCGCCGCCGCCGCCGACCTTTCCGCCTCCCAGCAGACTCACTTCGGCAGTCATTAACCCCGAGGAGCCCCGACCGTTTCCCTCCTCCTCAGTTGCCCACCTCCGCCCCCTCCCGTCTGCCCCCAGGCCGGCCGCCCCCCCGCCTGATCGATCCTCCAGAGGGGGGGGGGAAACGGAGGGAATGAGCGGAACAGCCCCGCCCGCGCCTCCCCCTCCCTCCCGTACCTGTAACTGCAGCATCCCCGTCTCTGAGCTGCCGGCCTGGCTCTTTGTTTCCTGCCGCGGGCCGGACAGGAGAACTGGCTCCCCCCGCCTCCTTCTTCGCCTCCTCCTCCTTTTCCTCCTCCGCCTCCTTCTCACACTCATTGAAAGCAAACAAGCATCATGGCGGCGGCGGCGGCGACGACGGCACGGGGAGCGCCTAGGCCCGGCCCACATCTCTCGGCTCGCCCGCCCACTCCTCGCCGCGATTGGACGGGCAGCGCGGGGCAGGCTCGGCGGGCGGCTATGGCTGCGCAGAGCCAGAGGGACGCGGGCGGAGACGGGGAGGACGGGCGTTTAGCGAGACGCGGCGCCGGCGGAGGAGAAAGAAGCCGCGTCCGCGGCCCCGCCGAAGAGGAGCGGTTGCAAGTCGAGCCATTTGCTGTCTCGGGAGAGAACTCCCCGGGTTGGGGGCGGGGGGGAGGTGTCAGTAGAACCCGAATGGTTGGAGAGACTTACTACGAAGAAAGCTTAGGGCTGTGTTGAATAGACTTGAAACTATGGACCCATCGGTGCAAAGGCAGTATTATTTACTTACTCTGGCAAGTAGGGTAGGCAGTTCATTTAGTGACCGTTCAAAGTTACAACGGCACTGAAAAACGTGACACGTGACCATTATTCACAGTTAAGCCCTTTACAAGAGGCCCGTGATCATGTGATCAAAATTAAGCCGCTTGGCAGCTGATTCATATTTATGACTGTTGCAGTGTCCCGAGGTCATGGGATCTCCTTTTGCGACCTGACAAACAAAAATATTAGGAGTCTGGATGGCCATTAGAGGCGGTAAAAGACACAGAAAAACCTTACCTTTTGCTACCATCTAGTGGTTGTCTAGGCTTTTGCCACCAACTTATTGAAGCAGCTATCCTCATCAGGAAACTTAATTATCAAAAGAAAAAGTATGCATACAGTATTAGCAATATAATCTAACCACGAATTTAGTTATCAGCAAAATAAAATAATAAAGGACAAGGTATGAAAAATTACAGTGATTATGTTATAAATAGAAAACCTCAAAAGAATTGACTATATTTAAACATGATCCTTTCTTGAAAACCCTTAATTCAACTGTTGACAATTACATGTATCAACAATTTTTTACTGCAAATCTAGCTTTATTATCATATTACCTTGCATAATCATTCTTTTAGCCAGTCCTCATCCCTAATAATCCATAATTTTTTATTCCAAATCAAATGTCAGTTCTTCCCAGGAAGAATATACATATTTAATACACAGTGCTTTTTCTTGAGTCTTGTCTTGTTAATTTCCACTAAAAATATAACGAAGTGATAGTTTTTCTGTACAGATTCCTGAGTTTCGCCTCCAATAGTAAGAAAATTGCAAATAATCCTTCAAGTGTTATGTATGTTTTGAGATAATATACAGAAAGCATTCTTTGCTGCATTAGCTTCATATTAAGGTCAGAGGAAGCTAATTTCAATTGTTAAAGCAACCTCCACTGACATTTAACCCCATTCTTCCAGAGAACATGTAAATAATATATTAGAACTATTTCCTGTAAAAGGGTTACTGATTTATTTACTTCCTTGATTTAATTTTTTATCTGTTTAAATTTTTCTTTCTGCTGTTTTGAACTATGATTTTCCCTTCTTCAGTCAAATGATTATTATTAGTAATACCACTCTTCCCTTTTATTCTTACTTATTATAATTATTTTTGCTGTAATGTTATTTAAAAGCAAACTCAAAAAAGTGGAGAAAAGTAAGAAATAATATGGACATCTCTATATAATAATCAATTATCAAACTACACTTAAGAAAAACCAAACTTTTGTTTAAGTAACTGATAGAAAATTAGATCAAAGTTGAGAGTCTCAAGCTATTTCTTTCCAGATCCTCTTACACGAAGTCTCTTTCTCCCTGCAACAGAAGGAGGAGCCTGGATTTGTGGAGGGGCTAAGATCATAAATTCACCAGAGAGATGAAGATAATTTAATTCAAGCATATCCAATCCATGACCCATGTGGCTGCATGCAGCCTGACAGTAATGTAGCCCCACTAGTTAATTATAAATATTAAAACATGTTTGTTTGTTATATATATTAACTATATTATATATTTTATATATAGCCCAAGGCAATTCCTCTTCACTCTGTGACCTAGGCAAGCCAAAAGATTGGACAACTATGATTTAACCTTTGATCTGGGTTTTATTCTTCATCTTGGCATAAATCTAAAATATTTTAAGTCTTGATGTATTGCTTTCGCATATTCACCACCCCGAAACAATTATTATATAATACTGTATATCTTATAGTTTAATATAAGCTTAATTTTGGGCCTCGCTTATAGCTGTATGTTTGTTTTACAAGTGTGTTATAATTCTGTCTTAAACTTTGATTTATCATTTATTAAGGTAGAACGTACACATATTCATTCATAGAACAGTCATCTTACACTGATCTGTTACCACAATCGAGTTTATTGATCAACATGAGAAAAATCAGTATTTAAATATTATTGTTTTCATGTTAGGGGTGAAAGAATGTATACTTATTTAGAATATACTTATTTAGAAAAATTATATGGTTGCCCGTCCTATCTTACATGATAACGTAAGACATGAAATTCTAGGCAGCTCACACTGAAGTCCAATAAAACAATAAATAAGACCAACCAAACCATACAACATCATATATCCATACCACAACACCACAACTTTCCAGCAACTCAACATACATTTGCTGGACTCAGTTCCATATTAATAATGTATCTTTCAGAACATATCCTCTACCAATTGGGGATAGCACGTTTGGGACTATTGAAATGTACCAATCAGAAATTTGGAAGAAGAAAATCATGTAGTGCCTGTTATTTGGTCACCTCTTTTCCTTCCCCAAGCTGAAGCTCGCAGTTAAAACCAATTATGAGTCCAGAGAAAGAAAATTTAAGAGTGATGAGAGGTTCTAAATGTGTGAACAATTTAGTAGTATTAAGAGTGTAACTTGGGAAGAAATGGACTGGAAGAAAAGGAAACAAGTACAAATCTGGTATGAAGATTATGAGATAATCTATTAATTTCCACATAGGAAAGAGAATATAAAAGCTCTTTAAAACAGGGTAAAAATAATTATAGAAGTCAATGCGGTTACAATAATTAAAATATGAAAAAGGTTTGATAAAATGAAAAAGGCTGTGGAAGAGCTAAAAATGGTATAATAGAATGATTGTAGCAAAAAATGAAATTGAGAGAGATACTGCAATCTACACAGAAAAGGTGCTTATAGAATGCAATCAAAAATTGTTAAGATTAAAAATAAGAAAATACAGAGATTTTCATATAAATTAAAAATAGATTGGGAAAGGCTAAACAAAGTCGATTATTTCAATTATTCTATTTGCAACATCTGGATCCTACCTAATTAAAATGAAATCTGAACAAAAAAATACAGATTTAGGAATTAGTAACACAATGAGCACTTGATACGATTCATACACAACCACTTTTTCACAGTTCTAATTGAGGCTCTAGGTTGGGGAAGGGGGATTTCTTTTTTCTGAAATGTACCGTGTTTCTCATATAATAAGGCTGGGTCTTATTTTTTTTTGAGCCCCGAAAAAACAGCTAGGATGTCTTTTGGGGGGTGAATTAATTTCTTCCCCCCTGCGCACCCTCGCCTAGGGCGCCCTGCGGGCAGCTACACCTCGCCACCAGCCACTCCTAACGGCCAATCATGGTGGAGTGTGGAGGGCTCCCTACCCCTGCCAAGCGCCTTTGCTGCAGACCCGGGTCAGCAGGTGGGCAGCGTCAGCGTGGATGTCCGCCAGCAGCGTTTCAGCCACTTCTCAGGCCTCTGTAGCTTCCACAGTTCCCACCGGTGCTGGCGCCTCTCGCCAGCACTGTCTCCCAACAACAGCGTCTTTTTCCTGTTACGGGGACAGGAAAAGCTCCCGCTTTTCCCCTGTCCCCATAACAACAGGAAAAAAAGATTTTGAGGTACCTGGGAGCACCGCGCGCTGCATTTTGGTTTAATCCCGAGCGGCTGGGTGGGCGTGAGAAGAGTCGAACGAGCATCTCTGCTTCTGCTACCCTTGGTACTCCAGCCTCAGGCTCTGCAAGTTTCCGAAAGTCCTGGTGCGCAGCCCATTCCTGCATTCCAAGCGCGCCCAGGCCAAGCTGCATATGTCCCTCTCTCGCCAGCGCCATCTCCAACAACAGCAGCAGCAGCGGCGGGAACCGTGGAAGTTATGGAGGCAGCTCCCCCACCCAAGAAGTTGCTGAAACGCTTCCACGGTTCCCGCCGGTGCTGCTGCTGTTGGAGACGGTGCTGGCGAGAGAGGGAGATAATTTAAGGGAAGATAGCGAGAGGGAAGATAATTTAACTCAAGCATGTCCAATCCATGACCCATGTGGCTTCATGCAGCCTGACAGTAATGTAGTCCCACTAGTTAATTATAAATATTAAAACATATAGGATGTTTGTTATATATATTAACTATATTATATATTTTATATATAGCCCAAGACAATTCCTCCACTCTGTGACCTAGGCAAGCCAAAAGATTGGACAACTATGATTTAACCTTTGATCTGGGTTTTATTCTTCATCTTGGCATAAATCTAAAATATTTTAGGTCTTGATGTATTGCTTTCACATATTCACCACCACGAAACAATTATTACATAATACTGTCTATCTTATAGTTTAATATAAGCTGTAGCTAGTTTGGAATAGCAAATTACAATATGTGTGCATGTAAACAAAATAACTGAGATCAAAGTTTGCCACACTATACGTAAGATGATTGGAGTTATTAATGAAGTAGCTTTATATAGCAATCCCATAAGTTTTGTGGGAGGTTAAAAAAAAAGATGCAGCCTTAAAGATAACAGCATAGAAGATAATTGGGGGGGAATCAAAATAAGATATAACATATTCTAGGACATATTTGTTAGTCAAAAACACGTCATTTTATGTTGCAGCTTATCTTTCATCTTTTACCAAAATTGTGCAGCTTGTGTATGGGTAAACATACATAGGATGCAATAAGCAGATAAAAGCTGGTGGGATAATGTGAAAATGAGTGAGAGAGAAAACTCTTAGCAAGAACAGGTACATAAGATTAGAGTCTGCT